TTCCTGACATAGTGCTCACACTAAAAGAAGAAAGAACGACGTTTATAATAGACATAGCTGTGCCTCTTCCACTAATATCCAAACCACCCATGCGGAAAAAATCAATAGTATTTGCCACTCTCCGACGAAATCAAACGCATGTGGGAAATGGGCAATGTGTCTATAATACCAGTTATAATAGGAGCTACTGGAGAGATACCAAGGAAACTACACAAGAGTCTGGAAAAGCTACAGCTCCATCCAAAAATATACTTGCAACTGCAAAAAGCTGCACTGCTGGGAACATGTAGGACAGTACGTAGGGTTTTAGGAGATGAGAACCGGATACGGTGAAAAGACCGCTGCAGATCTATTTCCTTACTTTGGCTAACCGCCTGAGGGAAATATTAATACCTTCGACAGAGGAGTAAAATAGTATAAAATAATAATAATAATAATAATAATAATAATATAATAATATATAATAATAATAAAATAATAATAATAATATAATATATAAAATATAATAATAATAATAATAATAATAATAATAATAATAATAATAAAATAAAATAATATAATAATATCATAATAATAATAATAATAATAATAATAATAATATAATAATAATAATAATAATAATAATAATAATAATAACCGACATACAGCCAAAGAGTGAAAAGAAAGGGGACACAATAATGCGACGATATACATCGGAAGAAAACCCAACCATAGTCGAAGTTTTGGACCTTCTAAAGCAGAGACTATTAGCCTTATCTCAAAGAGTGAAGAGATATAAGAAGAGCAGCCAACGTCGTAAACAAAACATCCTATTTCATAGAAATCAGAGAGCATTTTATAAATCTGTGGGCAAAGAATCAGATCGTATACTACAAGGAAAAACATCATTTCCTAACACAGAAGACATAAGACACTTCTGGAGCGGTATATGGAGCAACCCCAGAGAACACAGAACAGCGCATTGGTATCAGCAAGAGAAGGCTAGAACTTCCATACAAGCAATGCTGTCTTGGACCATAACTAAGGATGATGTAGTGAAAGCAATACGTAGGACTTCCAATTGGAGAGCTCCAGGGCCAGATGGTGTTCACAATTACTGGATAAAGGCATTTACTTCCACCCACCAACAACTTGCGAAATGCTACTCAACATTCCTCGAGAGGCCGGAAACTATCCCAGAATTTCTAACAACAGGAGTTACATACCTGATCCCAAAAACTGAACAATATACTGCTGATCCCGCAAAATACAGGCCAATTACTTGCCTTTCTACAGCGTATAAACTGCTTACTGCTATATTGGCTGACAAAGTGCATAATCATTTGGAACGTAACAACTTATTGGATGAGGAACAGAAGGGATGTCGGAAGGGCTCAAGAGGATGTAAAGAACAACTGATAATCGATGAAATAATAACGGGTAGTGCCAGAAAAAAGAAGTCGCCCTTGTTCACTGCATACATCGATTATCAGAAAGCATTTGATAGTATTCCACATTCATGGTTAACGGAAGTGCTACACCTTTATGGCATAGAAAACCATATCGTGAAACTATTGACCTATGCAATGTCCAAATGGAAAACGCGTCTCTGTCTTAACACCCCAGACTCGCAGATAGATGCTGGAGAAGTCAGTATAAAACGAGGGATCTTTCAGGGCGACTCTCTAAGCCCGATATGGTTTTGCCTAGCTTTACGCCCACTAACATCGCTGTTAAACAGTCAAGAAAAAGGCGTAAAGATTGCCGAGGATGGTACACAACTATCTCATCTTTGGTATATGGATGATCTGAAATTATTTGCAGAGAAGAAGGATCACCTACATGCGCTGTTGGATTGTGTGAGCAGATTTAGCAAAGATGTGCAAATGACGTTTGGTTTAGATAAATGCCGCATAAGTTGCATGACTAAAGGTAAGTGGACAGAGCATGAAGGGTATAAAGTAAGAGGGTCGCAAGGGGAGATCATCAATATGCAAAGGGATGAACGCTACAAATACTTAGGCTACCTCCAGGCACCAGACATAGACCAAAAAATGTCGAAGCAAAGATCTACCGACGAATACTTGAGAAGATTAAGGATCATTCTTAAATCAGAATTGTCTGCTATAAATACGTCTGTTGCAGTGAACGCCTACGCAGCGTCAACGCTTACCTACACCTTCGGTATACTCAAATGGACTGATACTGAGCTGAAAGCCCTAGATATAAGTACCAGGAAAGAATTCCGTCGGTATAGGGCGCATCATCCTAAAAGTGCAATAGAGCGCTTCCACTTAGCACGGCGCGAAGGAGGAAGAGGAATCCCCAGTATGGTGTCCAGACATTACCAGCAAATTGATAATCTAAGGACATACTTCTTGGAAAAGGCGAGTAGTAGCAGAATGCATCAGGCACTAGCCAACAGAGATAAGGGCATTACCCCACTGAACCTAGCCAACCTAGCTCTCAATCCATCCGCGATGGTGTCATCACCCCCCGAACTGATCGAGAAGTGGAAATCCAAGCCACTACATGGACGCTATAGAACGCGAATTGAAGACCAGGCAGTAGACACCAAAGCATCCCAAGAGTGGGTGCGTTCCAGTAATCTGTTCGTGGAGACAGAGGGGTTTGTGATGGCTATTCAAGACCAAGTGCTGCCTACGAAAGTCTACAGAAAGCGAATAATGGAGAAATATAGACAATATCAAATGTAGAATCTGTGGAGGTAAAGACGAGAACCTAGACCACATTATCGCAAGCTGTTCCACACTCGCCCCAAAACAGTATCTAGAAAGACATAACGACGTGGCAAAAATAATCTACTTGGAACTGGTCAAACGCTATCTCAATGAAGGACCTACTGAGCCATACTATCGCTACACGCCCCTCCCAGTTAAAGAGACTGGGTCACACAAAATGTATTGGAACAGGAAAATAATCACAGACCGCACAATACCAAATAACATCCCTGACATAGTGCTAACGTTAAAAGAGCAAAAGATAACATACATTATAGATATCGCGGTTCCGCTCCCTGTCAACCTTCAAAGTACCTACTCAGAAAAAATCAACAAGTATCTACCACTGTCAGAAGAAATAAAGCGGATGTGGGGAATGAATACAGTTACGATTGTACCGATAGTTATTGGCGCAACAGGTGAGGTCCTTAAGAAGTTACACACAAGTCTTGAAAAGTTAGACCTTGACCAACATGTTTACAAAAAAATTCAGAAAGCCGCTTTACTGGGGACATGCAGAACAGTCCGTAGGGTCCTGGCAGGCGAAAACTCGACATTGTAACCTGCAAAATTGGTAGTTGCCTTCAAAATGCTTACATCCTCTGGTGCAAACCTGGATTAAGCATATCAAACCCTCTCAGAGGAGATGATTGAATGAACAATATAATAATAATAATAATAATAATATAATAATAATAATAATAATAATAATAATAAAATATAAAACTTATAATTGATTCCGTTATTACGAAGCATGCGTGTAAAAATAAGAGAAATCTCCATGTCTGCTACATCGACTACTCTAAGGCGTTTGATTCCGTGCCACATAATTGGCTTTTAAAGGTGCTGGATATATATAAAGTAGACATCCGCATCATAAACCTATTGTCCCATCTGATGATAAACTGGGGAACCTCTTTAAGAGTTAATTCGGAGGACATAGGAGACGTGCGCATACGCAGAGGCATATTTCAGGGTGATTCTCTTAGCCCGATGTGGTTCTGTCTAGCCCTGAACCCACTGTCATCACTGCTGAATAATTCCAAGTTCGGGTATAGGCTCGATGTGAGTGAGCCTACCAGATTCAACCATCTGCTATATGGATGACCTCAAACTATACGCCGAGTCAAGGCAACATCTTGCTTCTCTAGTGCGAACGACAAGTATATTCAGCAATGATATAGGAATGAAATTTGGGTTAGATAAGTGCGCCACTGTCACTATAAGGAAAGGTAACCTAACTCCTTTGGAAGAAAATTTAGAAAACATCGCGCCTCTAGCAGAAGACCAACCGTATAAGTACCTGGGGATGCACCAAAGTAGGGGTGTGTGTCATTCTACCATGAAGTCAATCTATAGAGAAAAGTACATCCGTCGGCTTACAAAACTACTCAACACCAAATTAAACTCGCAGAATCTTTTCAAAGCAATCAACAGTTGGGCAATAAGTTCACTTACATATTCGTTCGGTATTGTGAAATGGAGTAGTAATACAGACCTTGAAGAGCTAGACAGAATCACTCGTGTAAAGCTCACAAAGTTCCATTGTCACCACCCAAAGGCATCAACCGAACGGCTGTACCTCCCTCGCGCACAAGGGGGCCGCGGATTGCTCAACATAACACAACTCTGCAAGTCTCAGATAGCCAAATTACAAAATTACTTTAATAACCATCTAAGTCCTAAGATAGCTGCTGTAGTGGAGGCAGATGACTCATTTACCCCTTTGAGCTTTCGGCAACCTCAAGCAAATACGGCCTCGGAATCGAATACTAGGAGGAGAGAATGCTGGGAGGAGAAATTCTCCATGGCCGTTACCCATGCCAACTGAGAGGTGACAACATAGATAAACCTTTGTCATTCACCTATTTGAGAAAGGGATATCTCCATCCAACAACGGAAGGGTTCATAACTGCCATCCAGGACAAAGTAATAAAAACAAAAAACTATGAAAAACATATTCTCAAATCCAACGTCCCAGATGAATGTAGGAAGTGCAACCAGGCGGGCAAAACCATCGAACATATTACTGGAGCTTGCCCTGCGTTGGCAGCTGGCGATTATTTGGGAAGACACAACCAGGTTGCAAAAATAATCCATTCACAGCTAGCTCGTAAACTTAACTTGGTACAATCTCCTCCGCCATATTACAAGTACACGCCTGAGCCAGTTCTGGAATCAAAAGATGTAATACTCTATTGGGATCGGCCATTTCTAACCGACAAAACTGTAGACTTTAACCGTCCCGATATTGTCCTGATAGACAAAAGCAACCAATATGCACAGATAATTGAGGTTGGAATTCCTCTTACACACAACATCCTCAAGGTAGAGCGTGAAAAATCTGTTAAATACCAGAACCTGGCGATTGAAATGAAGAGGATTTGGAAGCTAAGGGAAGTGCAGATTGTACCCATTGTTATCTCCGTGGAAGGGGCTGTTACCAAACAAGTCTCCTCAAGCTTAAAGACCTTGGACCTTCCAAACGGCCTTCACATACTATTCCAAAAAGCCGTTATCTTACAAACGTGTCATATTGTGAGAAAGGCACTGTCTCTGTAAAAACTATCCTTGGTTGGGGTGAACTCCCCCTCAAAGATAGTACACCACCATACGTGAGGACTATGAGCAAAAAAAAAAAAAAAAAAAAAAAAAAAAAAATAATAATAATAATAATATAATATAATAATAATAATATAATATAATACCCCGCAGGGGGTATCTACTTTTGGAGCTGGATCTTTGATCCGGTTTCAAAGGAAGATACATGGGGAGCGTCGCCCCCACGGCCCCAGGCAGGGAGTTCGGGGTTTGGCAGTCTTATTCATTCTGCCAAACCCTGGGCTTATCCCCCCCTCGTTCTCCCATCCTTTCTCCTTTTATTATATCCTGTGCAGCTGTCTGTTGCTCTCCCGACTTTCCTTCTCCTATCCTTACCCCATGCGTTGAGGCGGCGCGTGGAGCTTCCTCTTAGCCTCCCGGGTGTTTGTGCCGTGCCCGGCGACCCGTAAGCTGGCCAATGGAATCCTGGTGGTTGAGCCCTACCAGTCAGGGGGGCAACACGCCACTTTGGTCCGGCGGTCAGTCTAGAAGGGCGGCCGCGCCTAGCCCAGCGTCGGTCAATCGGCTGTGCCATCCCGTCAGAGGGCTGGTTGGGCGAGCCTCCACAGGTAGTAGAAGCCAGACGGGAATAGTTCGCTATTCTCGATGTATGGTGGAACTACCTGGGGGGACTATACCTTCCTTTCCTTCGGATTAGCGGTATCCCTGGGGTTGTGCCTTAGCGGGATGCTATTATGGGCATAACCTCCCAATGAGGCTCCGTGGAGGGTGGGGAGCCGGGAAGGTGAAATTTTTGGAAAATCTTATGGAACAGCCTAAACAAGATTCAGGTGCACCCACTACCTTAAAAGTGGGCAGTGATCGGGATTCACTCGCAAAAACCCAAAACACCCCTAAAACTGGGATTTCAACCGCGTCAGCGGCCAAGATCAGCCAGGGAAAGGAGGGAAACATCCCCCGGTTCCTGGTGGTCGAAAGAATCGATGGGGGCAACTTCGATAAGGTTAGCCCCTTCTTGCTGTCGAAATTGTTATTTGGAATTGTTGGCGAATTGAAATCAATTAAGAAAATTAAGACCGGATTATTAGTGGAAACTGTTACCGCTCATCAAGCGTCTAGACTCCTTAAAGTGACTAAAATAGGCGAATTCATTGTTGAAATAAAACCACATAGTACACTCAATTACTCAAAGGGTATAATCACATGTGCAGATTTTCTTAACAGTTCTACCGAAGAAATATTGGAGGGTTTAGAACCAGAAGGTGTGGTCGAAGTTAAACGTTTGATGCGTAAACAAGGTGACTCACTTGTCGAAACGCCTAACTTATTATTGACTTTCGACAAACCTAAACTACCCTCAAAAGTTAAAGCTGCCTTTTACTCTCTCGAAGTGCGTCCTTATTTCCCAAACCCCCTAAGATGTTTTAAATGTCAGAGGTTTGGGCATACTTCGCAAAGATGCTCAAATTCTGAGATATGTATATGCGGACGACCCAAACATGATACAACACCTTGCGACACACCTATGCATTGCGTTAATTGTGAAGGTGAACACGCAGCCAATTCAAGAGCTTGCCCTAAGATGAAGGAGGAAATAGCGATTCAAAAAGTTAGGACTATGGAAAAACTGAGCTATCTAGAAGCAAAGAAAAAAGTAATCAGGCCCATTCCTCAAAAATCCTACTCCGAAATTGCGGCGACCACAAGTACGTCAATTAATAATATAATACAAGAGTTATTACCGCAATTAACTAAGTCTATTGAGAGTAAAATAAAAGAAACCCTGGATAACATAATCAGTACCAAGAAGCATAATTTTAATACTAATTCCTTCTTACCTCCCGGTCAATATTTTTCTGATACATCTACGCAACCTTCTGTAGCCGAAAAAAGGAAGCGTACCAGAACCCGAACAAGGGACGATGATACCGATGAAAGTGTATCATCACATATCAGTGAAGCATCAACTTCTACTAAAAAGAAAAGAGGCTGGCCGAAAGGGAAACCCAGGCGGCCTCCCAACTCCGCAAGAAGTGATCAAGAAACTGAAGCCAGTCAAATTACTGACCTTACCATTGAGATATAGCCACCTGTGATATTTTCTACATAAATTTTATTATATATTTACGTTCGTATGTGTATGTATGTATGTGTGTATATGTGAGTACATCTGATCTTATTTATACTACTATTATTTTTTTTTTCTATAGACTATTTATATATTTTACTTATTAAGCTATTTATTTATTTATTCATTTATTTATTAGCTTATTTATTTATCTATTCCACGA